TCATTAAACCGTATATTATAATTAATTTTATTCATAAGTAACCAGCAGGTAGAGACCATTGAGAAAATATTGAGATTATAGAATTTTAAAAGATGTTTACATTATCATATAATTCAAAACAAACAATGTTTATACCAACTTATTATAAGATTTATTATATTAGAGCTAACAACAACGTCATTGATATATTTAAAAACATATATTTGTAAAGATTTCAAATATATTGTCGTATTCTACGCAACGCGCAAGTATTCACCTAGTATATATATAAGTGGTGGGGCAGGTTAGGCCATGCGTCGGCTTGTGGATCATGGTCTCACACACTAATCCCTACATGTGCCCGTAGTAGGCCGACCGTTGTAGTCGTGATGTCACTTTCTGAGGGATTGAACCTGACTTCCTAAGCTCAGTTGGTTATTGAAGTAGTAGCTCTCGATCGAGAGCAGGATGCTTACCGTGGGTATTCTGAAAAGGGAAAAGGCTTTTTATTTTATAGAGAGAGGTATAATAGAATGGAAGACCAAAGAGACGCAACTCATTCAAGTCGGGTTTTTTGTTATTGGGATTTATACTTTGTATGCCCATTTGAAAACAACCTATTAGCTTCAGACTTTTCCTTCCTAGCTGCACGGATCTGATGCACGTCAAAAAAGAGGTCATTTATACTATACACAAAAGAGAACTCACTAACGCTAGCGAAAAGTGATCGCCCCAACCTCTTCCTCGGTTTTATTCTATTGGGTTCGATACACGTTTTTGAGAGGACTACTTGTCCTCGATTGGGGCCGGTGAACCGGGCTACCCAGGGGACCAGGTGGAATTTCCATGTATAAGATCATTTTTAGTGACAATCTTTTTATTTGTGCGGCTTGTTTTTTGTGAAGTCTTTGATGACACCTTTTGTTTTTAATATTACTTCTTATGTGCCATTAAATGACAAATCCGTGGGATATGTCACTTATCTATTGACATTCGTCATTATTACCAGAACATTGAAAGTGTTTGATCAGTTGGACCAAATCAACAAGTTCTAAAGATTCATAATTCGATGTCCTCCTTTTTTTTTCAATTCCACAACAAGAAAAGGATAAGTCATGAGTAACTTGACATGATAGGATATTAACCAATTTTTTCATGGCCTCTGTAGAATAAAACGGGGTGTCGGTATCTTAGTGTGAAATCTCTGATCCAATAACCTTCCAAAACCTAATTTTACTTATGTTTCCAACTTTCCTTTTAAGGTAATTTAGAAGGTCAATACCTACCTCGTGAGGTTAACGTCGATCTTGATAATAGAAAGTTGTGTACTGAGGATATAGTTTTTGGCCATTAAACCTTAATCATGTACATCAAATATATCTCTCTATTCTAATAAATGAATAGTTTCAATCTCCATTTGACATGTGTCACTCTAATACAACTATTCATTAATATCATGCCACATGTTAAAGAGATATATTAGGCAACACTTCAAAATTCAAATTTACTTTTTCTAATTATATGTTAAATTTGAAGTTATAATAACTTTAAAAATTTTATATATCTTATAATTAATGATTTATTTATAGTAATTGATAAATAATTTATGAATTTTTACTATGAAAATTTAATTTATTTTGTAACCGTGATTCCCACGGGTTATAAACTAGTACTCTAATAAATGAAGGTTTTTTTTCCACATGTCAGACTCTCATTCAATTTGCCAAATGTCATTTTGTAGTTATTTTGAATTAATTTTTTTTCCACATGTCATTTTATGAGTTTTTCTATTTTATTAAATTCAACATAGTATTTTAATATATAATTGCAATAAATGTAGTAATAAATGGATATCAATTTCATTAATGAACTTACTTTTTAATTCCAAAATTCCAAAATTAAAGCTCATTAGTTTCTTTTGTTTATTTATTTAAATTGTTTGTTTAAATTTAAAAGATAAAAAACATGTTAATTATAATAATTCCTTATTTTTCTTATTTTCTTATAAATTCAAAGTTCTCAAATATTTTTACCTTTATATTAATTTTTTTTAAATTAACTCATGTAATACCTGGGTCTCACAATTAGTTTATTTATAGCCCGAATTTTCTTTGACCAAATAGAATCGACATTTGTCTTAACTTTCCACCACCATTTTGTAAAAAGGTCGTCGTTAAATTTATTCCACCACCATTTTGTAAAAAGGTCGTTGTTAATTTTTTTAAAGCTAACCACCCTAAGGGCTTTATTAACTTTGGAGGTGGTGACCTTAACCCACAACACCCAGTTAATCTTGTTGTTCACCCATCTCCACCCAAAAGAACTTCCTCCGAATACTTTCAAGTGTCACGACAGCTTTTTTTGGGAGCTTTGAAGATTAAAACTAGAAAATACGAGGGCGGGCCGTTTTCACAAGGCCAAAGAAAAGAGATTTAGGGTGCGTTTGGTTGTGGAAAATTTTCCAGTTTTCTAGGAAATTTTTTCAAGAAAAAACGGAAATTTTGAAAACGCGTTTGGTTCGTTCAGTTTTCCAAAATTTTCCAAGAAAATGAAAATTTTCAGTTTTCCAAATTGTATGTAAATTAGAAAAGTGATTTTTACAGTTTTCCAAAGTTTTCTAAATTTCTAAGATGGAAAATGAAAACTCCATCAGTTTCAACCAAACGCGTTTTCTAAAATTTTCATTGAAAATTAAAAGCGAAAACTCAACTCTATTTTTTGAAAACATTTTCCTAGAAAATGAAAACAGTTTTCCACAACCAAACGTACTCTTAGAAATTTCACAACTACAAAGTTTAACTTTAATTCGATCTACAATATAGGACCAATCTTGTTTCATGTTGGATCCAATGGGTAAACCAGAGGTTGTACACGAGAATGTAGAAACTTCACAACCAAGAAAATTGAACAGCCTTGTGACATCATTAATTTTGACCCGAATATCGTAAACTTTGCTTTTTTTTTAAAGTTAATTTTAAGGGAAAATGACTTAAGAGGGTAATCATTTGTTTGGTTTGTTTTCGTTTGGTCACTTTTCTTTTTTTGGTATTCAATATACCATTTAACTTGTTGATTGTGTTCACATTAACCATTGTGACCGGCTATCACCTGTTATTGAAGGTTTCCGGGGTCTTTGTCCTATCCGGCGACTCTCCGGTCACCTTCTCCGGCGAGATTCCGATGAATATGAATGTTCCGGCGAGTTATTAGCAAATGTTCTTGTTTGTCAAATCTGGAAAATCTCCTGAACATTATCACATCATAACCCACACACAATGAAAACTTAAAACTGCAATTGTGTTTGTGTATGAGAATCAAAAGTTGAAATTTGTTTTTAGGGTTTTCGTTTGAACAAGATGGCAAAATCCAAGATCGAAATCAAAAACTGAACTCATGTTTGTTTCTGAAAACTGAAATGCCTTCCTGATCCAAGATCGAGCTTAACAATTTGTGTTCAGAAAAAGGAAAGGGAGAACTCGAACACAGAAGATGAACACCTACTTGTTTTCTAAGATCTGACACACACTTCAACCAACTGTTTGCTTTCTGGACCTTCAAACTCGCGGATGAACACACTATGTGTTCTTGAACATGAACCCAAAAATTAAACATGAACCCGCTATGTGTTCTATGTGTTCTTGAACATGAACCTAGAAATTAAGCATAAACGAAGAACTCAAACACTGAAATCGTTTTTCAGAACAAGATGTGTGTGTGGAAAATAGAGAATCGTAGGTATTCTCCTTGAATCAATTTGCGATCTGCAAAATAGAGAAGAAGAAAAATCGAACAATGGAAGCCCTAATCGATTTGCAGATCTTGACTCAATCTATATGTTTTCTCTTTCTTGAATCGATCTTCAGGTCCTCTCCTTCCCAGCCTCCCTCTCCAGAAACAAACAAACACAATAACTTTTGAGTTCCATCGATGAACATTCAAACGAACACGTTCATCTCTTTCAAAAAAAAAACGAACACATTTACACACACAAATCGATTTCCACTTGTATTAGATCTGTTTTGAAGATATGAAGAGGTTCCCATTAGATTTGGGTTTCTCAGATCCGACACACCGGCGCACACACATCCTTGTTTTCCTTATTCGATTTCAAACCAAGAACTCGCCGGAATATTCATGTTCATCGGAATCTCGTCGGAGAAGGTGCTCGGAGAGTCGTCGGAGAGTACAAAGACACCGGAAACCTTCAATAACAGGTGATAGCCAGTCATAATGGTTAATGTGAACACAATCAACAAGTTAAATGGTATATTGAATACAAAAAAAAGAAAAGTGACCAAACGAAAACAAACCAAACAAATGATTACCCTCTTAAGTCATTTTCCCTAATTTTAATTCTGAATGTAATATGAAAACATGTAAGAATTCTTAAGTTAACGAAATTACTCGAGACCACCGACCAAAAATATGACATCATCGTCGCACCGGCCATTGTTTAGAAGCAGCTGCTGGAATATCCTTTTTTTTTTCATTATAAGTCACTAACGTTTAATGTTACTAGCAACATATTGCCTTGTGTCTCCCGAAGGGAGATATGATCCTTCTAAAAACAAAAATATCAAGTTGTAAACCTTAGAATGTTGCCATAATCTCTTTTTTGTACATTTAATCATTATATATTCTAGCTCAAACATATTTTTATATGATAGTATATATTTATTCAACATACAACATTGAATATGTATTTACATTCTCATATATAGCACCATTAGATTTCAATTAGAGTGTACGTTTTGTGCATTATGGATAATTATGAAGTATTTACCACATTGATTTTTAAGTATATTTTTCGTATTTTGTCATCATTAAAATGGACTAATAATCTGAAACCATGTGTATAAGTTTCAAGCATTAAGAAAATAAAATTTCAAAAAGGTGAAAAGGAAACAACGACTACCTTTGAAAATGGGTACTTGATATTTGACTCCTGTTCTTCATTTCAAAATGACGACCATCCGTTGACTTATGTTTTCCGCCGCTCATTTCGTTTTCAATTTCTTTTCTTTTTTCTTTCTAAACAAATTATTATTATTTTTCCATAAATAATATTAAAAAACCCTAAAATCTTGGCCCATATCTCCCCTTTTTCTGTCCATAAAATCCCCCTCACTCCCTTCTCAAACCTGCAAATCGAAACAGATGGATACACAGTTGCAGAAGAAGAACGCTTACAACAACACCGCTTCAACTTTCGAGGTAGGAGACGATGGATTTCGCAAAAACATCGACGACGATGGCCGTGAAAAAAGAACAGGTGAGCTGAGCTCTTCATGCATATACCGCCATTAACCTTTCACCAAAAAGCTTCATATGCATCCATCAAAAATGGTTTTGATATGATTGTGTTGATTTCAGGAACTTTGGTTACTGCAAGTGCACATATTATAACTGCTGTCATAGGATCTGGAGTTTTGTCTCTGGCATGGGCTATCGCTCAGTTGGGGTGGGTCGCCGGACCCGCCGTCCTCATGGCGTTTTCCCTCATAACTTACTTCACCTCCACCCTCCTCGCCGACTCCTACCGGGCACCTGACCCTGTCTCCGGCAAGCGTAACTACACTTATATGGATGTCGTTCAGGCTAGTCTAGGTACCTACGTATAAACATTTAAGTTTTAATTGTATCTTTGTTTTGATACAAACGAGGGGTAAAATGGTCTTTTTAACATCGTTGTACAGGTGGGAAGAAGGTGCAATTATGTGGAATAGCTCAATATGTTAATCTTGTGGGTGTAACAATCGGATACACAATCACTGCTTCTATCAGTATGGTGTAAGTAAAAATAGAATAATATTTAAGTCAATTATGTAAATAGAATTAAATTTCAAGATAATCTTTGTTTTATATATATTTCTATAAATAGTTTTATATTTGTTACAGGGCTGTGAGAAAATCAAATTGTTATCATGATAAGGGACATGAAGCGGATTGTAAATTGTCAAACTATCCATACATGATGATATTTGCAGCAATTCAAATCGTGTTGAGTCAAATTCCGAATTTTCATAAGCTTTCATGGTTGTCGATAGTTGCTGCTGTTATGTCTTTTGCTTATTCTTCGATTGGACTCGGGTTATCAATAGCAAAAGTTGCAGGTAAATTAAATATATTTGATTATTTATTATATATTACTATATATTTTGTAAATACATGTATTTAGTTACAACACAATTAATGTAAACCACAACTATTATTATTGAAAAGACAAAAAAAAAGAAAAATAAAATGAAAAGGGAATTGAATATGATGCTAATATAGGTGGAGGACATGTAAGGACAAGCCTAACCGGAGTAGAAGTCGGAGTTGACGTGACCGGAGCTGAGAAGATTTGGAGAACATTTCAAGCCATCGGTGATATTGCATTTGCTTATGCTTATTCTACTGTTCTCATTGAGATTCAGGTAATTTTTTTATTTATATGCTATTTTTCATAGATTTAATTATACATTGATCTTCAATTTTCATGAAAGATGAGAACTTGCATACGGATATTCTTGGTTGCGTGTTTGTTTGACTTAGAATCTTATTTTTTTTTTTTTCTTATATAACAAAAAGAGATGGTAAATAAAACAAAGTGCAATAATATATAAATAAACAACATAAAATCTCAATTTTGAAATGTTATATATAACAGATTTTTATTTTTTATTTTTTTGAAAAAATGTTACGAAGGAAGTCCTTTGGATAGGGATGTATACGAATTTAGTATGACTTGTAGAATTTGTAAGTCTTATAGTGTTTTGACACCGACTTAAGGTTGGAGTTATTATTTTGGATAAGATAAGAATATGATTTTATGTTATAAAAATTTATTATCTTTGCCATAAATAGACATCTTTTCTCCTGGAGTGTGTACACATAAAATATTGTTCTTGATCAAATAATGAAAGATTGCCGACTTTCTGTATAAATAGTACGCATACGTGACATGTGTACATAAATCAACATCCACATATATGTATGTTTATTTAAAATAAGAAATGGTTTATATATAAAGTTTTTTTTAATAATTTATAGTACAATATAATATTTTAAAACATGTATGAAGAAAACTATATATTTGAATCCAATCTCATTAAAAATATCATTTTCATATATCTAAAATAAAGAAACTAAGTTGTTATTATCATATATTTGAATCCAATCTCATTAAAAATATCATTTTAATAAAATGACAGTTTTGTCCTTACTTTGCATTTAATGTTCCATTAAATGCTTAGTTGGTTAAGTAATAATGAGGGGGTATTTTGGTAAAAATGTTATTTATTTTTAGAAGTTGACTATTATTTTGGGACAAACCAAAAAAAAAAATGGACTATAATTTTGGGACGAATGGAGTATTATTTTTTTGCAAAATGCCAAAATATCTTAACTAATTTTGAACGACAAAAACAATTACATGTTGTAAGATAATTCTCAAGTATGATTGGTTGTTTATTACATAAGTATAAGGAGGTGGAGATAGTGACACGTGTAAATATTATGAGACACATATACATTATAATCTTCTTTATTCTAATGAATGAATAGTTTTAATCTCTTTTTGCCAAGTGTCACTCTAATACAATTCATCATTAATTTTATATCATGTAAATATATTAGACAACTCATTTAAAGTTCAAAATTACATTTTCTAATTATATGTTAAATTTAAAGTTATAATAACTTTAAAATTTTGATATATCTCTTAACTAATAATTTATTTAAAATGATTTATTTAAAATAATTGATTAATAGTTATAGATTTTTATTATGAAAGTTTAATTAATTTTATAACCCGTGGTTCCTCGGGTTATAAACTAATTATAATTATATATATCTATATATATATATATATATATATATATATATATATATATATCTATATATATATATATAGTTGTTGAGCTGTCTTTGCCTATGATTTTGTTTTGCATCCAATAAATGAGTAATTCATTTGTAACATGTCTTGTTTTTGTTTTCACTATAGAAAAAGGAAAGGAATAAAAACTAGACCCCATGCATGTAGCTAGATCGCACATTTTAATGAAGAAAATAATGATGGTAATATGAAGGAATATTCATTAGATGAAAGAAATGAAAACATCGATTATGTTAAGTATTGCAAAATAAACGTTAAACACGATGTTAATATTTTTTTCGAAATTATTTGATTTGTCTTCACATATCGTATTATCTGGCTGACTTTAGACTATGACTCTTTACATAATCCATCTGTGTATTATTCGTTTATGTATGTAACAAGTTTATTATTAAAACTTTTATTAACGATAAAAATGACTAATTTTTCTCTGTGACATATTTATGTCTTCCTTTGGAATCTTAATAACTATATTTTACTAACATGTAAATATATTTAATAATATTTATTGGAAAAGAAAAAAGTTGAAGGTGGGGCATATCCACGTGTAATTATTCTTGTGTACCAATCAACTATGGACCTCAAAACTAAAATGGGCTAACAACCATCAAATGTGTTTGGAATTGGACCTTTGAAGTTTCAAAGATAAGAAGAAGACCATTGTTTTTCTCTTTAAGAATAGCATAAATATATTCTTTTTCTATTTTCCTACTTTTATTTTCTGCCATCCTTTTTCTTTCGTACACCGATCCTTACTATTTTATACTAGAATTGTACCTCAGATTTAAAAAAGAATATATTCGCTTCTTCTATATTTGATAAGATTAAGTGAAAAGGAAGGTGATTGTCCTTGTTTTCGTTATTAAGAATTTGATGCTTTATTGTCCTTACAATTATATATTAGAGTTTTAAAGAATATGTTGAACAGAAATGCTTGATTATATATAAATATTTACAATAGCAACAAACAAAATAATTATGTAGATTGTAAGAAACAAGAAACCAAAACATTTTATTTGATATACATATACATGAATGAAATGTAATTGTCATTGCTTTTAGTATACAATAGCAAAATGTATAAATTAAGTGTATGTTTGATTTTGAATTTTGTAATTTTTTTTTATCATTTTGGTTCTTATTTGAGTTTTTATAACGTCTATTTGCCATATTATTTCAAATAAACTAACTACTTTTAGTCCTTAGCTGTTTCTTTCAGTTTTATTGGGATCAAAATTGTAAATAACAGCTATACTTGGGGGCTAAAAATGTAAATTACCCAAAAACAAAACCAAACAGAAACCAAAGTTTATATCTGTTTTTCTTCCAATTGGTGTTTTGACTTTTAACGTCAAGTCGTAACCTAAACCTGTAGGACACATTGAAATCGTATCCACCGGAGAACAAGGTGATGAAAAGAGCATCACTCGCCGGAGTTTCAACAACCACCATATTTTACGTCCTCTGTGGCTGCGTAGGCTACGCTGCATTTGGAAACGACGCACCAGGAAACTTCTTAACTGGATTTGGGTTCTACGAACCCTTTTGGCTCATTGACTTTGCCAACGTCTGCATCGCGATTCACCTCATTGGAGCATACCAAGTCTTCTGTCAACCTTTATTTGGTTTCTTCGAGATGAAGTGCAGACAACAATGGCCAGATAGCAAGTTCATAACAACAGAACATATTGTAAACGTGCCGTTTTGTGGAGAATACTACATCAACATGTTTAGGTTGGTTTGGAGAACAGCGTATGTGATAATGACTGCTGTGATAGCGATGATCTTTCCATTTTTCAATAGCTTCTTAGGGTTGATTGGAGCAGGTTCTTTCTATCCATTGACTGTGTATTTCCCGATAGAGATGTATATTGCGAGGGCTAAGATTCCAAGATTTTCGTTCACATGGGTGTGGTTGAAGATTCTGAGTTGGGTTTGTTTGGTGGTTTCGTTGGTTGCAGCTATTGGATCTGTGCAGGGTTTGTTGACAGATGTCAAGAAGTATAAACCCTTTGAGACAGTTTAGTTGATGTTGGGTTATGGAAATTGTAATAATTAATGTTTTTGCAATTACAAGTGATTGTATAAGAACTTTGAAGAAGATAATTTCAATATAATATAGTTGCTATTAATTAAGAAAAAAAATGATATGGAATCAAAGCCTAGCTACTCCACACTTCAGATAAAATTACATTTGTAGCCGCACTTTGAACATACTTAACATTCAAAACAAATTTAATCTTCATTTTTTCCTTGTTAGCTACTTTAATAGTTTAATTTCAGCAAGTTGTCCCTTTGTCCATGTCAAACATGGCTTAATTACATGAATCTCTTTGCTAGTGTAGCATTGTATGTTCTGTCTATATATATTTAAGCACCATGGCCGACGAATTTACCATGAGTGATCTTGACTCCTATAAATTGTTTTTTGGGCATCTTGGTTTATCAATCTTCGCATGATATGTTCTTATCCCAAAATGAAAAAAGTATGGTCCTAACATCCTTGATCGGTCACTCATATAGTCATATTGAACATGTTACCCCATTTTATACTTAATTCACACTGCCCACTAGTTAAAGACTGAAATATCCCAAAAATTTCTTTTTAAAATCATTTATAATAAAACCATAAGTCATTCATCATCATAAAGAAAACCATAAATCATGTATCTCAGAACATCGTGTCAAATACTGTATCAAAATCATATGAGAAAATATCAGAGTCTAAACATCCAAGGCTGAAACTGTGGTGTGTGTCATGCGATCATCCCGGGCCTTTCCCCTTGCTAGTGGAAGTACCTGAAACCAAAACTGAAAACTGTAAGCACATACCATACACATATCACGTAACATATATTGGGCCCCGCCCCTGCTACATCGAGTCAATCTCGGCATCGGCTTTCCCGACATCGAACCCTATTCGGCATCGGGCCCCGCCCGACATTGAGCAGATCTCGACATACATATACATATCAACAAACATATAACATAAGCACATAACCCTAGCATGAAACATTCATCGGGCCCCGCCCGACATCAGACCGAGATCCGGAAACATACTAACATTCCTCTGGAACCGCCCCGGCATCAGACCGGAGTCCGGAACATACTATCATAACATATTAACTAGACATTCCTCGGGCTTGCCCCGACATCGGACCTAAACCCGGAACACATAACACATAACAAACACATGCAAGAATCACAAAGACATCAAGCATACAAGTATACAAGCATTCCTCGGGACCCCCCCCCCCCCCCCGACATCGGACCGGAATCTGGAAAACATATAAACCTACTTCGGGCCCCGCCCGACATCGGACCGCGGTCCGGAACTACTACTATCTAAACGGGTCGGCCTTGGTGCCTTAAACCCGTTCCTACTGGAGAAAACTCACCTTGCAAAGTTGTCTGCAAAAACTCACGGTGAGGAATATCTGATAGCTGCTCCAACGAATCCCCGGCTATCAATATCACAATAATACTTAGTCAAAATCTGATAATCCTTCTCAGGGTAAAATGACCATTTTACCCCTGGTCAAAGTCAACATCCTGGTTATAGTCAAAGTCAAGGTCAATTCCCAGTCAACCCCAACTCGTCGAGTCATCTCCTAACTCGGCGAGTTCATGAACAACTCAGACCCTGATCAACTAAGTCAACTCGTCGAGTCCCTTCATAGACTCGTCGAGTTCTTTCTGTCATAACATCGGGACGTATCGACTTTAACTCGTCGAGTCCCTCCTTGGGCTCGTCGAGTTCTTCAGCTTCCGAGTCCTAATCTTGTCCAACTCACTGAGTCATCTCCAAGACTCAAAGGTTTCACTCACAACCAAAAAAGGAGTTAGGGTTCACGACCCAACTCACCTAGTCCAAGAACAACTCGCCGAGTCCTCCATGTGACATATCCATTCAGTCGATTCTAATCCATTCCAATGCTTCTAACTCATAGATCTGGACTCCTTAGACTAGCATTACATGTAAAGTTGCTAACTTTACGTGCATGCATGGTGTTATGAAGCTAAAACACCCAATCCAAGCCAAAATGAAGGTTTAAGTCATAGAATGGGGCCATGGCTGAATAAAGGTGGCAACTTTGATCTTTTAAAGCTCAAAAGTGCCCAGATCTAAAGTCCTTTCATCCACAAGAGTTCAAATCTCGGAATGACCTTGGAAATGGCCCAAAATGTCAGCATACAAGCTAAGAAGGAGATCTAAGTGAATAACAGCCAAGGTATAAGCTTTATACCTCGATGAAGATAGAAATGAGTCCTTAGTTCTGGATCTTCGACCTTCCTTCTGCAACTCCAAGCCTTTGCTTCCTTCTTCTATCTTTAAATCACAACAATGGCAAAGAAATAACTCAAGATCACTCAAGGTTGATTATGGTTTTGAGATTAGGGTTTGGAGGTGATGAAGGCTGGGATGGAGGCCAGATATGATGCTTAAATAGGGTGCAATCCCTAAAGATTAGGGTTTCATCCAGCCTGTCCTACTCGTCAAGTCAGGTCCTCGACTCGTCGAGTAGATCACTTAAAACCCGCGCATATACTGCCTTCTACTCGACGAGTTAGGGCCACCAACTCGTCGAGTAGCCCTTCTAAAATGAATAAATAAATGAATTAAGTGCATACCAGGAACCAGGCGTTACAATTCTCCCCCACTTATCTTAGAGTTCGTCCTCGAAGTCTGCTGCATCTGAAAACAACTCTCGGTAGTGCTCCCTCATCTCCTCCTCGGGCTCCCAAGTCCACTCCAAACCCTTGCGGTGTTGTCATTGCACCTTTACCAACTCCACTCTCTTATTCCTCAAATCTTTCGACTTCCTGTCAAGGATAGCTACTGGTCGCTCGATGTAGTTCAGGCTGTCATCAACCTGAATATCCTCAAAAGGTACCACTGCTGAATCATCCACTAAGCACTTCCGCAACTGTGAAACGTGGAAAATGATGTGGATCTGGTTGAGCTCTGCTGGAAGGTCTAACCGGTAAGCAACCCGACCCACCTGGGCCAAAACCCTAAACAGACCGATGTACCTAGGGCCCAACTTGCCCCGTTCCGGAACCGAATGACACCCTTCCAGGGTGACACCTTCAGGAGGACCATGTCGCCCACCTGGAACTCTAAATCTGAACGCCTCTTGTCGGTGTAGCTCTTCTACCGACTCTGAGCAGTCTGGAGCCTACTCCGGACCTGCTGGATCCCCTCAGTAGTCTTGAGTACTACTTCAGTACTCCCCATAACCCTCTGACCGACCTCACCCCAACATATTGGGGTCCTACACTTCCTCCCGCAAAGCATCTCAAAGGGAGGTCGGTCTATGCTAGCGTGGTAACTATTGTTGTACGAAAATTCCGCTACCGGAAGATACGTATCCCAACTGCCACCGAAATCCAAAACACATGCGCGTAGCATGTCCTCGAGAGTCTGTATCGTCCTCTTGCTCTAACTGTCTGTCTGAGGGTGGAAAGCGGTGCTGAAGTGGAGACGAGTACCCATCTCGTCGTGAAACCGCTTCCAAAATATGGAAGTAAAACGGACATCTCGATCTGACACCACCGAGACAAGCACTCCATGACGCGCCACTATCTCTCGCACATAAATCTCGGACAACTTCTCGGTGTATATGCTCTCCTGGATCGAGATGAAATGAGCACTCTTGGTCAACCGATCCACGATGACCCATATCGAATCTACTCCACGTTCGGTCCTGGGAAGCTTGGTAATGAAATCCATAGTGATATCCTCCCACTTCCATACGGGAATGTCTAGCGGCTGCATCTTGCCGTGGGGTCTCTGGTGCTCAGCCTTGACCTTCCTGCAGGTCAAGCACCTCTCCACATACCACGCTAAGTCCCGCTTCATGCAGGGCCACCAGTGTTCAGGGCGAAGCTCTCGGTACATCTTCGTCGCCCCAGGATGGATGGAGAACCTCGACTTATGGGCCTCATCCATCAGAACCAGACGTACTCCGCCCCAGTTGGGAACCCAGACCCTCCCATGCAGGGTCAACAACCCTCGGCTATCATAATCAAACGAGGCCACCCAGCCCACAATCCTCTCGCACTTCTGGCGCTCTTCCTTCAGGCCCTCCACCTGCGACTCTCTAATTTGCTCCAACAATGGAGTAATCACTGTCATCCTCAGACAAATGTCTCTAATCGGAGCCACTACCGCCTCGCGGCTCAGGGCGTCGGCCACCACATTGGCCTTGCCCGGGTGGTAAAGGATCTCACAGTCATAATCCTTTACCAAATCTAACAACCGACGCTGCCTCATGTTCAGATTCAGCAGATTCATGAGGTACCTCAAACTCTTGTGGTCCGTGTAAATGGCGCAACGGACCCCATAGAGGTAATGCCGCCAATTCTTGAGGGCGAACACTACAGCCCCCAGCTCTAAATCATGCGTCGGATAGTTAGCCTCGTGAGGCTTCAGCTGTCTCGACGCGTAGGCTATCACATGACCCATCTGCATCAAAACTACACCCATGTCCATAATCGACGCGTCACAATACACCACGAAGTCATCTACTCCCTCGGGTAGAGTCAAAATCGGTGCCTCGCACAACCGCTGTTTGAGAGTCTCGAAGGCCGCCTGCTGCTCAGGCCCCCAACGGAATGTCACTGACTTCTTGGTCAGTCGGGTCAAGGGAACGGCGATGTTGGAGAAATCATGGATGAATCTCCTGTAATAACCCGCTAGACCAAAAAAACTCTGAATCTCAGTTGGAGACCTCGGAACCTCCCATTGCATCACGGCCTCTATCTTGGCCGGATCGACCAGAATACCCTTCTGGTTGACGAGATGCCCTAGAAACTGCACCTCGCGCAACCAAAACTCACACTTGGAGAACTTTGTGAGAAGTCTCTCCCTCCTCGGTGTCTCCAGCACCTCCCTCAGGTGCTCCTCATGTTGCTCCTAGTCTTGGAATAGACCAAGATATCATCGATGAAAACTATCACAGACCGATCCAGCATCGGTCTGCACACTTGGTTCATGAGATCCATGAAAGCGGCTGGAGCATTGGTGAGCCCAAACGACATCACCACAAACTCATAATGACCATAGCGAATCCTAAAAGTCGTCTTCTGGACACCCTCATCCCTGAATCGCATCTGGTGATAACCTGACCGTAGATCAATCTTGGAGAACCAA